AAAGAATTAGGCCTGGACTGGTAGGAGCTTTTTTACTCCCCACGACTGTGCTCCCTCACTCCTTCCCTGGGCCTGTTGGAGAGTCCACCTTGCAGTAGTGCTACCTGACTCCCAAACACTCACCTAGCCAGCCAGTTCTGCCAGTTCTGCCCCTTACCTGAGCAAGTGTTGTGTCTGCACAGGCTTTCCGGGCATCCTGGAAAAGAGTGAAGAGAGGTCAAGTCAGAAAAGCACTGTGTGATGAGGGCAATGAAATTCAGGGGTGTAGTTGACAGCCTCATTTAAAGTGGCAGTTGTCAGAGGTAGGGACTGTGGCTTTGCTGTGTTTAGATTTGCCCAGCCCAGTGGGATCCTGGTCTGTGACCAAGGCTCCTCAGCACCTGCCAGACAAATAACACCAGGGTGAGCCAAAAGCTAATTTGCATCCAGTTCCCCATGATGCACCCTTTCCCTGGATCCTCTGGCCTGGCAGAATGCCAGCTAACTCCCAGACAGAGGAGAACCCAGGGATATACTGCACTCTGTGATCCCCTGCAGACATAATGCGTTTGGAGTCTCCCCTTCTCTCTGTTCCTCTCCTCCTCTTTTTGCCCCCTGCCCCCATGCTAAGAGGATCTCCATTAGCACTTAAAGAGCTATTCAGAACTGCAGAGGGCTCCAAGGATGTATTTGGAGAAAACTCTCTCTGAGTTGAGGCCGAGTAGGGGATAGAGACTTGGCCACAGGGGAGAGGTGCTCTCTCAGCAGTTTCATGACTGTTCCCAGCATTACCGCAATCTGCTTCTTCAGCTGCTCAGCCTCTTGTTTCATCTGTTCCATTTCCCCCATCTTTCTGATCTAGGGATGGCTTCTCCACGTGTGGAGCCTTGATTCTGGAAAGACAAATCAAAGGAGAGGTGTGAGGTAGAAAGCATGCTAATATGACTTTGCTCAGTTATGAAAATGTAGATGTCTGTGATAAGGGCTTGGCAGCCATTTATTGGCTGCATGATTGGAAATATCATGCTCTATCTGGTCAAAGCCTTTAGCATTTGGGAAGGTCATACTGGGTCTGATCAAAAGTCCATTTGGTTCTCTATCCCACTTACATGTACACTGGGAGCTGAAGACTTCCAGAACCTCTTATGGAGGCTCTGCACTTCTCCCTTCACCTCTTTATCTGTACCATCCCTACTCCAGACTCTACGAAGGCCTGGGTCCTCTGTGGTCAACCTGTCCACCTGCAGGTCCAGGAGGATTAAACTTGATGTGAGGAGCCCAGTGGCTATGAGACCTGTTTCCTATCTTTTGTCCTAGGCAAAGCATTCCTGGACAGTGTCCACCAGCAATTTGGCCATCAAGGAAATCTGCAGGCTGCTGAGCTGCTCTTTCAGCGTTCTCTTCTGATTTCCCATCCTTAAAAAAATAAGTGGATGCCTAGGGAAGGATCTAAGAATAAAATAAGCACATAGTGGTATTCCTCCTACTTTGCTAGCCCAGCTTTTCATTGACTTCCCAAGCTTGAGGCAGTAGCACTGTATGCTATAGTCCATTGTCCGGTCACTTTTTGAGCCTGTGTCAAATTTTAGCATCCTCAGTGCCCTATGGTGACAAGTTTCACAGCTTAATGGCATGCTCCGTGAAGAAGTACCTGCTTCTATTACTTCTGAACTTGCCTGGCACGAGCTTCACTTGATGGTCCCTAGTTCCTGAATTGGAAGAATTAGCAAGTAATTGGTCTCTGTTCAGCTCAGTGTCACGCAGGATTTTGTAGGTCCTTGTCATATCCTTCTTCATCCACCTCTTTTCCAGACAGCAGAGATAGTTTAGTCATTTCTCACATGTAAGCTGTTACATCTGATCACCTCTGTTGTTCTCTGAGCCTTTTTCAGTTGTTTTAATACTGTTTTTCAGAGAAAGCAATGAACCAGAACTGCAAGGTATGGGCAAGCCATATGATTATACAGCATCTCTGTTTTGTTTTCTCTTTCTTTGCTATTAGATTTACTTAAAACTTTACCAGTGATTCTAGCATGTCCCAATCACAAAGACAAATCTGATCTTTGTTGCTTCAGTCTTTCTCTCAGGTAAGGATGAGTGTCCAGAAGCGCTCCAGGTGTTTCCATGAGCCCAGTGGCACCACCATCAAAAGCAGCACTTGTCCCAAGTCCAAGAAATGCTCCAGCAGCATCTGTAGAATTTCTCCTTCTAGTCCCTGTGTGTCACATGACCTCTATCCTTCTCTGGCCTGTTGTCTGAAGGCATTATTTCTTCCAGCTAACGAGGCTTTGAGTCCTTCCGTGTCAGGCTGCTCTTTCCTTGTGGGGCGATTCCCAAGCACATGCAGATGGCTCTTGTGATCCACCTTTGCTCGTTGTTTTGCCTGAGATAAAGGCCTCAGTTGTGCTCTGAATTTCTCTCCAGAATCCTTTCCCCCTGAATGTCTCTGTGGCTCTCCTTTGATTCTCCAGGCAGGATTAGTTTCTGCTTGATCAATGACTCCTGAGGCACAGCTTGAGTGTAGGAAAGCCAGGGAGATACAGCTCCTTGAAGGACCTGTGCCTATGCCCAAGAAAAGCTATGTATGTCAACTACGCCCCACAGAGAAAGGTTCATACAATTGTCCCTGCTGACTGCAAGGCTGCGTGGAGCCACATCATTGCTGCCTCTCTTCTGCTCCTTGTCCAGGCACTAGAGGTGGCCATTTGGCCAGGTCTGCTGGCTCCAGCACATGGATGAGAGAGCAGGAGGGGGCCCAGAGCTTGGAGGCATGTGCCACAGCAGCAATCTAGGACTGCCAGCCTCTACTAAACTGAAGGGTGGGAAGAGATCAGCACCTGAGCTGGCTCCTTTCCGCTGTTTTTTCTCCTCTCCTTGTGACAGAACAATGATGAGTGGTGTTCCTCCCAGCAAGGATACATAGTTGGACCTGGCTGAGTGGTGTTGGCCAGGAAAACGCACCTGAATGCACTTCTTTGGGAAGGGGTTGAGTATCGCAGTCCCAGCTAACTGTCAAGAGGGGTGCTAGCAAGGCCTTGTAGCTTTCAGAGTGAGTTTGCACATCCGCCTTATCTTTATGGTGTTTGCCCCTCGGCTTTCGTGTACAGTCAAGATCTGGAGACTATGTCCAGCTCTGAGCACTGCCTACCAGCACACCAAGTGACAAACATTAACACTGAGTCACCCTGGGAAGACCCAGCTTTACCATTCTGGTCCAAACCTTCTCCTTTTTCAGTTTTCCCCATGGCTGGTCCTGCCTCCCCCCATCACATCTCCACAACCCTCAACATTGGATATGTTTTCTTGCTGGGCCATGTCTTCTGGTTTACACTCTCTTTCCAGCCTCTTCTCTTGATTTCCAAGCCCTAAAAGCCTGGCCTCTCCATGACAATCCCTTTCTAAAGCTTCTTCCAGCTGTAACCACACTGGCTCTTGGCTTTCCAGGCTGTCACTCTCCAGACCTTTGGCCATCTGAGATCATCATCTATCCACCTGCCCTAAACTGACTTCTTGGACTTCTCTTTCTGTCCATCTAGCTCTGAATAGAGATGGGAGCCTTATTTTCCCTTCTTTCTATTCTTCAGTTTCTGATCCATTTGAAGAAGGTTGTATGAGTGCCCCTCACTGCCTGTTGGGTCCCCAATCTCCCCTGCATCTCTTCTGTTTTTTCACTGCTCTCTCTCTTTCCCTGGCAGTTTCTTTTTCAAGTGTGGCATTATCATGGGAGACCCAGTTCACAGGCAGACGCCTGTTCCATGAAGTTGCACAACCAGATGAGGGGCTTTGAGAGTCAGTAGGAAGATCCAAGGGGAGGGGCACGATGTTGAGGACAGTTAAAAAGAGCTAAATATATTGAAGGTATGGCTCAGGTTCAGGATCTGTCCAAACCTTTAAATCCCTTTGAGAGAACAAGCTAAATGAAGTTGGGAATTGCTCTCAGCCTCAGCAGGACAGGGAGCCACAGATAAGTGATAATAATAGCTCTGGCTTCGCCTGTCGCCTGCACTCATCACATCCCAATGCAATTTGTTGAGTGTGAGTCACCTAGTCCCCAATGGAATGCAGCTGCCTTCTAGGAGGACCCTAGCAGGTGTGCAAAAGAGCAGCTTACCATGTAAATTTAGGGCAGGAAAGGGGGGAACTGAATCGGCAGAGAACAGAGGAAAAGGGAGTGGAGCCTGGAGTCTGGCCAACCCAGGTTCCTGGCCAGGCAGCAAGTGACCAGAGACCAGAGAACATTTCTCGTGGATCCACAGATCAGTTCAGTGGTGCTCATGATAGCTGCTCAGCCCGGCTTTAAGAGGAAAGCTTTCTAAACTGTGCATGCCTAGGGCTTTCAGGAAATAAGGGCTTGTTCAGGTAGATGCTTAGCAGTAGAGGAAACTAAGCTGTTAGGCACCTTTGAAGAAATAAACACCCATCACCACCCTGGCTTTGCAAAGAGCTGCTGACAGGTTGACCTTGGCACCAGTACTTGTGTGCAAACCAGTGCCTCCTACAGAGCCACACACATCACTTGGGAGCCTCGCTCACTCAAGCAAAGTTTCAGCTTAGCTGATTCACACCAGCCTATCTTATGAACTCTGCCTTGGCTGTACACATCCAGTTCCCAGTTCTTGGCTTTTGAAGCCTGCTTTCATCTTTTTCTGCTCTCCAACCTGACAGCTCCACTGAGCCCTTTTCCCTTCTGCCTTTCACCTGTGACAAACTTGCTGGTGGCTCCTGCTGTAGCTCTCCTGCCTATGGGCAGCAAGACACATCCTGAGCCCTTGGATGTCTTCTCATTGCAGACCAAATGTCTCCAACTTGGTGTGAGGCTGAGGGGTCTGGCATCTTTCTGCCTCTGCCTTTTACTGACACTGCATGACTTTTCAGGGCTTTTGTCTATGTCCCTTGCACCACATCAGAGCAGAGATTCCCC